ATATTCAATGAAAGTAAATTAGAAGAGAAGTTAATGTATTTTATTTTTTTAATTATTATAATATATATATATATATGGATGAAAATTAAAATTAAATTGACAATATTTCTAATCATCATATATTGAAATTTTGATTTATCTAGCTTAAAATTCCAAATTTAAACTTAAATACTTTTTTTATTAAGAACTTAAAGTCTTTTTATTATTAATTACATTATATTGGCAATCCAAAATATTTGAATACATTGACTAATATTATTAGCTTATCCTACTCAAATTATAGCATGCCAAAATTTTAAATACTCCTCAAAGTTATGATTAATTTGGGAGAATTATTTTACCAAAGATATATTTTAGAGATATTTTTTGTACATTCAATTGGTTGATGTGTTTTGCACTTTTTAACTTATTTGATAACATGTTTTAATTTCAAATATCAATATTTACTAATTAAATAAAATGATTACTTAAGTAAAATATCGTTAAATTAATTAATACTATTTTTAATAAGAAAATATAAATAACATTATTTAATTGAAAAATATTAGTATTTTCAGATTTCAAATTTTACACAATAAACAATCAATATCTTAACCTTATGATAATATTGAATTTTATGAAAGTTCATCAAATTCTAATATTTCACATAATTTAAGTTTTAAAATTTAAATATAGATGAAGATGGATAAGAAATTATATTTTTAGAAGATATACTATAACTATCTTCTTTTTATTTTTATACATAAATATGTAAAAATTAAGTTTAAATATATTCACAAATTAACAATCAAACTTGATTTTTAAAGTATAAAATCACTAAAAGAATATCAAAATAAAATCCTACATTTATATAAATCAGTCTTGTAAAAAAGACTCGAGAAATTTACAAAACTAATTAAAGAGTTAAATGATAAATTTGCCTTTGAACTATAAGTTCAAAAGTATTTGATACTTTAAATTTATTTTTAGTAATGTCCTCCTTCAATCTTTAAAAACAGTGTAATATTATCCCTATAGTTAATTAATAATAACTTTGATTATTAGTTTACTAAAAAATTACTAAAAAGAATCTCAAAAATTATAGAAAAGAGACCAAGAAAATTTTCTTGGCCCTTTTTGTGTATTTTTTAGTCATTGTCTATATTTTTGAATATTTTACAATAATTTTTTGTTCAATTGGCATTCAAGGTTAATTTTTATTAATGTTTAGAGTAACATTACGTTTAACCCTTAATCAAATCTGTAAAATGAAAAGAAAATAGTAAGCAACATCACTTATTTATAATTGGTATAATATCTAAATGAGAGAAAAATTTGATTTGAATTTAATGATTTTATCTAAATTACAGATCTTCGTGACTATATTAGTTGAAGTTTTAAAATTCAAATAGAATTTTTGAGGTCTATGAAATTATATTAAACATTTTTAACCATTTTTTTTTGAACTTATATAGGTCTAAAAAAAGAATACATTAATTTAAAGTGCTTAAAAAGGACCAGATGTAACAATTTGAAATATATAAAAAATGACATGTGGTATTTAAATGACTATATATTAAAATAATTATTGCTTAATTAATTTAATAATTTTCTCACAACCTCTCACTAAAATATTTTACATGTGAGATCAATTTAAATAATTGAAATAAATTTTAAAATTTGAATTATATTTAGGATAAATAATTATTATGAGTAACTTTAAATTTCAAAATTTGAAATTGAATTCATCTTTAAAATTCAAGTAAATATATCTTCAAATTAAGTAAGATAAAATTTGATTACATAAAATAAGATGTTAATCCATCAATATAAATATTTAAAATCATATTTTAAAATAAATTTAGAAATGTAAATATATATGTTATATATATATTGTGACCACCCTTCTAGTTTATTTATAAATATTTAAAAATTTAGTCCAAACATATTTATAAACTAACAAAAAAGTCTAGCTTTTAAGCACAAAATATGTAAGAGATGCACATAAAGGTATTAATATGAGTTGTTTAACTCTTATAAGTTTGGTCTTTAAGAACTCAAGCTCATAAATTAACTTTTCTTAACTTTTTTCAAGTTTGACCTTTATTAATAGGATTTTGGGCTAAGCTCAAAGCTCATATAATTTTTTATTTTTTAAATTAAAATTTTTATATAGACTAATATATATATATATATATATATTACAAAATACCTTAATTAAATATCTAAAAGACAATAGTAAAATTTGAAGTATAATTAAAATAATACAAACCCTGGAATATAATATAAGTTATATAAGTCCTAACTTTTATCATCCAAATATAAATATAATATTAAATACTTTGATAGAAATTTATTTATAACGAAAAACTGTTAATATGATTTGAAATTAATTAGTTTTAATTTAAAATATATTCAAAATTTAGCTGAAATAATTTTTGTTTTGATATGAATAATAGAATTACATTTAAAAACTGTTATTGGTGACTTTAAAAAAATTCATATAATATAGCATATATAAAATAAAAATCTATAAACGAAAAAACCATTTATATATATAAAAATAAATAAATTCAGTTATTAAAAATATATCTTAGTAAAATAATTTTTTTAAAAAAATTTAATTTCAAAACAAAAATTATTGTTTAAAGATAAAATAAATTAAATTGAATTGAAAATACTTTTTAAAAGCATGGTTAAAAAATAATTAAATTTAAAAATCCTATATTGTAATATCTAATACAACAAATATAAATAAAAAATAAAACATTTAAATTTTTAAAAAATCTTAATTGATTATAATTATATAATATATTTATGTATTTATAAAAAATCCAAATTTATATAATTTTTGTATCCATTTAAATTGATTAAAATAAATAAATTTATATATTTTATTATTTTATTTTTCAAACCGCACCAATCAAAATATAACTAAAATTCAATTTTATTATTGTATGAAAACAAAATTAATTTATTTAATTGTTTTAAATTGTTCAATTTGAAATTCGAATAGATAAATATAGTTAAAATAAAATAAAAAATAAATAAAAATGATATGTCATCCCAAACCTAATTTCACACTCTAAATCTATCAAATAAATTGGTTTAAAAGGATAAATAATTATTTTAGATTTATTTATTTTATTTGATAAGCAAGTCACACATATTAAATAAACAATTTATTATTTTCAAAAACTTGACATATTAAATAAAATTGTCATTACTTTACTTTTTAATTATTTTAAACTAATTTCATATATTATACAAGATAGTTGAGAACTTGTTATATAAAATAAGATTATTTAATATATGTACACAATCTTTATATATTAAATAATATTAAGTCCACGATTAAAGTTTTTGAATTGATAATAAAGAATTAAGATATGATATTATCTTAAACGTGCTAAATAGAGTTTTCAAATAACAAATTTAAAAAATTTAAATACATGCCAATTAAGTAATTATCACTCGTTACTTCTTTGCTTGTAAGTTTGAAATGTTAATAAAATTATACTCAAAATGATGGATGGATAGAATTTATCTCAAGATGCAATTTTACATAAAGAACATGAAGCTAATCCTGGAAGGATAATCTATTATTCGATATGATCAGGAGCACTGCAAAACATGCAACATATTTTCAGAACATCTCACAAAAGACTTTCAAATGATTGTAGGGATTCAGCCACCCTATAGTAATGTTGTCCTATAGATATGATAAGTATTATATATTGGATGTAATTGATGGGATCCAAATTATAAAAAAACAAATACAAAAAATATTGGATGTAATTGATGGGATCCAAATTATAAAAAACAAATACAAAAAAATATAAATACTTATTCAAACATTTTGGAAGACTAATCCATCACCCATTAATTCTTCAAATATATTTCTATCTAGTAATTGCTAAACATGAATCACCTTCATCACAATGCGTCAATCCTTTTTTGTTGTATTAATGATGCAAATTCCATGCATCTTAGATGTAGAAGCCATTGACAGTATGAGTAGCAGTCGAGAGAAGAATAAATTAAATGTGATTAGAGAAATGAGACGAATTCTAAAGTGTAAAATGTGCTATTGACTTAATTTAGTAATTTATAATTGAATAAAGTTGAATTGGAAGAAAAAATTAAGGGGTAATTTTTAAAAATCAAGATAATAGATATTAAAAATTTATTTTTGTGAGTTTAGATATTTAATGTATCTGAATGTATTTGAATTTTAACAAACTTCACGAGAGCCTTCTCAATACATTAGTATTATCCAAAATTTAACATCTCAATATTCTCTACAAATAACAAACAATAGTTTTAAATACTTTATTGTTAAATAAATTAATCTCTATATTATGAAATTTATAATATGTGAAATTTAATATCATAAGATCCAAATTATTAAATAGATTAATATCTATACTTTATCATATTTATAATTCTTTAAAATCATGAGGATAGTCTAAATATTCAAACACATATTTCTTTTTCTAAATATCTAAACAAATAAATATTAATTTAAATTTAAATACCAATATATTTGCATATATATATATATATATATGTACTCGATCATTTAAACCTAGATTTTCGGCATAACTTTAATAGATGAAAACTTTAAATAGATATATATTAATTTAAATTCAAATATGATGAGATTTAAATTTTAAATAGATAAAAAATAATTTTTATATTTATTTAAAAATTAGTAAGTCATCCCACACTTAACTCTAAACCTGAATAACATATTTTATATACATTACAAAATAATAATTAGCCCAAATCTAACTCTAAATTCAATTCCAGAGCATGTAATCGTAGGAAAGACATCTCAAAGCATAAATTACAGCAAATTTAAAAATAAACACGTGGTATTTTTTCGTAGCCTTTAACCCTACTTTATATATATATATATATATATATAAATAATGATTAACTGGGCTTAAATGAAAAAGCCCAATGCGACCCATTATGAATGCATTTAAACGCCAATATGGGTCAGAGAATTGATGATTCGCCGGCCCATTTAATTAACCCTAAACCCTTATATACGAGTTATGAGCAGCCGAAGAGTCGCCATTTTCTCTTTGCCGAGAGGACAGCGGGAGGGGAGAGAGCAGTGATCAGCAATGTCGAAGAGAGGTATGGTACCTTGTGAGGGGTCAGATTGCCTGGCATTCATGTAATTACTTGTTTCTTTTGTCTTCTAACAGCTAGGTTAATTTGATCAGGTCGCGGTGGTTCGGCCGGAAACAAGTTCCGGATGTCACTGGGTCTACCGGTGGCGGCGACAGTGAACTGCGCCGATAACACTGGAGCTAAGAATCTGTACATCATTTCGGTGAAGGGGATCAAGGGTCGTCTTAACCGTTTGCCGTCTGCTTGCGTCGGGGACATGGTCATGGCCACCGTGAAGAAAGGGAAGCCTGATCTCCGGAAGAAGGTCTTGCCCGCCGTGATCGTACGCCAGCGCAAGCCATGGCGCAGAAAGGACGGTGTTTACATGTACTTTGAAGGTTACTCCCTCTCTATTGATTGTTAAATGCAATTACGTTTCTGGTTGTCTGCCACTCTGCATTTTTCTTTATGTGTTTTATATGGTTATGGTTGGTTGAATTTTGTTCTGTACACCCTATATTTCTCCAAACTTAATATTTTATTGGTTTTTGTTTAGCGAATTACGATTGATCTGCTGCGTTCCTGTAGAAAGTTTGTTTAGTTTTGCTGTGTTTTCTTGATAATCAAAGCATACGGATAGTCACATGTTGCTTCTAGTAATTATTAAGTGGCCACTACAGTCCACTGGTCGGTCATCCACAATCAGAAGCATATATCAAAGAAAATGCCAGTTTTAAACAGCATGATGTTTATTTCTTGCATTGTGTTACCTGTCTCCGGGTACATGTTATTTTTCTCTTCCCTTATCTCCTGCTTCTGCTAATCGTTATACTCTTACTCCTGATTTTGTGCTGAAATAGAACTGGGCAGTTAGATTTTAATACTGAAAGTAAGAAAATTTGTAAGTATTTGTTAAGTGATGTAGGAATCGTAGTATACCATTGGTGTGTGCAGGAGATTGTCATATACGTCGGTGGACCTATTATTATTGTTCAGTAGTTCTTGTTTTTATTTTCTTAGTTATCGTTTAATCATTTTAGGGAACAACTCGTGACTTAATTTTGCTTTATGCAGATAATGCCGGTGTGATTGTTAATCCCAAGGGTGAGATGAAAGGTAATTATGATCAAGGTGACATTTATTTTAATATTAAGCTAGACAGTAAATTTTTGAGTGAATATGGCTTAGTCAGATGATGATCTGATAGTGTATGTGATATTATTTATAATGATGAGATTACATCCTCTTGCTGAAGTTAGTTGCAATACAAACAAGTTACACTAACTGAACACATGGCTCATAACAATCTTACTTAACTTAAAGTGGACACAAGTACTCGGACATAAGTTATCTCACAATATATATATATATATATATAATAAATTCATCAGTGAAGGTATTTTAGCTGCATATGATGTTAATGACTATATCTGTTATCATTTGCGCTTTAGTTGATCTTAACCTGGTGATCAAATTGTTAATGTAGGCTCCGCGATTACTGGTCCAATTGGTAAGGAGTGTGCTGATCTCTGGCCAAGGATTGCAAGTGCTGCCAATGCAATTGTTTGAGTTATGGAATTGAAGTAACATGACGGCATGTATTTTCTTGTAGAATTTTCAAGTTACTTGCGAGGTTTTGTTTACTTTTAATTATACGGTAGTAATTTAGTTTATTTTGTTTCGTGGCTATCTTTTTAAATATCGTGTTCCTATGAAATCAATTGGCAGCTGTGGAGTTGTTTCTGTTCTTTCCTCCTTGTAACCTTTCCACCGTTTTAACCTCTTGTCGTGGAGGAGGTTGAGAGCATGGATTCACTTGACTGTTGTGGGGTGTGTCCCGTTTTACGTGGGCAGCGACCGTCATTTATTTATTTAACCAAGCAAGAGGGGGAGGTCCCTCTCGTCCATTTTTGATTTTCCCAACCAAACAGGGGGTGGGAAAATTCATTCCTCCCCTCCCCTCCAATCCAACTAGACATAGGTTTAGGAAAGATCGAACAAGGGCTATCAAGGGATAAACAGTCCAATGTGTCCGTCCCCTACTCCCCTTGGAGAAGATGGCCCACAATGGGTTTGGCTCGGAATACTATCATGGGCTTGCATAATTAAAGCCCATGACAATGCCTTGAACAGGGTAGTAAGTATATGGGTATTGCGTAATTCATTGCAGCATTTCGATGTTGGGCTCAATCACTTCAGCGTTGAGGATGAGAGTCCATTTCCACCCACAATTCCTCCTCACGCAGGGGAGCGGGTGTTCGACTGTGTTGTGTTAGACCTATAACGCTGAAAGAGAATTTGAGATTGAAATAAAGGCTTGCATGGTGACAAAATTGAAAATGGGCAGCAACAGTGAATGAGTCACGTCGATCTCAAATCGTCAGATTCCTGGACCATGGGTAGAAAACTTGTGTATCCTAATACCCCTAAGGTCACGTTAATGAGTTCGCTCCCGTGGTAAAAAATAATCAGTGCTCTCCCTATGTGATGCCCTGTTCTATCCATCGTAGTTCTCGAGTTTCTGCTGACAAAAGTATCAGTGAGTACCGCCTTGTGCATGGCCTTCTTCCATTTCTGTTTCTGAGAGGTAATTGTAACATCTCCATATCCCCGCCCGAGCATCACGTGAGGGTTTGATTGCACGCCCTAACCCCAATATTAGAAAAGTCAGGTGATAATTACATATGTCCTATGTTTTATATTGAAATAGGAGGATCTTAGGATTGAGGTAACCGCTAATTAGAGAAGATTATAGAATTTTGTTCTAGTACACGAGAGCATAGAATGTACTAGAATGTCTTTACAATGTGTGCACATTGGCCGGGCTTCACATCTTTTGAAAGCGACACTCTGTGTGAACATTAAGGATTTAGATGCATACAAATGTATATTTTTTGAGAATACAATTCAGATTTCAAGGTCTTGTTCCGGTTCAAGTAGTTAAGTAACGAGACAACAACCGCAGCAGGAGTCCGAATTTCGTTGTTATATTAATTAATTTACAATCCACTAGAAATAAATCAACCTATATATGGCTTCATGACAAGAAAGCGGTGTCTCCGCCATTTAACACAGTTCAGTTTATAATTTAGAGTTTTAATGCTGGCCCATGAATATATTCTACTACCATGCGATAATGATAATGATATGCTGCTGTATATAAAGACAAATTCAAATGGGTTTCTCTGTTCATGGGAAGTAAAACGATGCATGCCAATTAACAACTGGAATTGGATTCACACAGCCCTATTATACATAATTTCACCCTTCGAATATCATTACATTAGGATACAAGAAAACATTTCATGAGGTCGCCAACAAGAGGAATTATAGATCTTCCCCTGCCGTAACCGTGCACACAGCTTTATTCTATTAATAACAATAACATTGATATTGAAGGACCAGGCAAACCTAAGCACAAGGAACAGTTTTGTTACTGTAACCATGGGGTTGTTCTGCCTCCACCCTGCTTTCATCTCCTTCGTCATTCTCACCAGACATCTCCTCCAAAGATTTCCCCTTTGCCTCAGGCACCAAGAAAGTGAGAAGGAATCCTAAAGCGTTAATCACGCCCAACACAAGCAACGAGTTCCTAACCCCAATACCAGGATGGTACCCTGCATCTACCTTGCTGGGATCCTTATTTTGTGCCAGATACAAGAACCCAAATGCTCCAACAATTGCCCCCAGCTTCCCAGATGCTGATGATATGCCGTGACACGTTGATCTGAATCTGGCCGGGAAAATCTCTGCCGGCACAACGAATGTTGTAGCATTAGGCCCGAAATTTGCAAAGAAGAAAGTCAGGGAGTACAGTACCACAAATCCAATTCGGTTGTCCTTGAGAGTCCAGTGGTGATAAGGAATGGCCAGAGCAAACATGAACACCGTCATGAAAAAGAACCCCATCAGTTGGATAGTGAATCTTCCTATTCTGTCAATGAAAGCCACTGTGAACCAATAGCCTGGAATTGTGCTGCACAGAGCAATAAGCGTCTGAGCCCTGGCAATGGAGTAAAGCTCGTCAAGGGCACTCATGGTTTTAGCGGGAGGAATCCATCCAATTGCACTGAATATATCTTTCTGGAAGAGGTTTTGGCTGTAATATGCAATGTCAAGCAAGAACCACGTGCTCGAGGTTCCGAGCAAATGAAGGCCATGGCGAATCAGGAACTCCTTGGAGAACAATCCAAATGATTTGGCCTTTGTCTGATCAGTAGTCTTCTTCTCCATCTTCTCATGATCAGCTCGAATCTCCACCCGCAAAACCTTCGACATATCAGCCGCTGCTCTCTCTGCGTTCTGGGCTACAAGTGCAGTGTAACGAGCGGTCTCTGGCATCTTCATCCTCCAATAATAAGTCAATGCAGCCGGCACCGATCCCGCCATTAGAATTATCCTCCAAACGAAGTCTGCTTCAGGAACCGTTGACCCGGCTGGATCAACCTGGTAAGGAGGAGCATCAAACCTGGACTTGAACGCAGCTGAAATGATCATTGCAAACAAGCCACCGGCCAAAATCCCGAAACCCTGCATTGCAAAAACGGCGGCAATGAAAGCACCACGAGTCTTCTTGTTAGAGTATTCGGACATGATGGTGGCAGATAGTGGGTAGTCTCCGCCAATGCCAAAGCCAAGCCAGAAGCGGAAGAAGCAGAGAGTAGTGATGACAGATTTAGGAGTGTGTCCGAAGGAAAGGCCAGAGCCAAGGGCACAGACGATCATCATCAACAGAGTCATTCCATAGACAGTTTTTCGGCCGAGCTTGTCGCCCAGCCAGCCAAAGAAGAGTTGCCCAGAGAGCGTGCCGCAGAAGGCCACGCCATTCACTGCAGCCGACACGTTGGGAGGCAGTGTCCCAGGTTTGAGAGAATTCGGCTCCTGGTAGTATATACGGCCGAGCAGTTTGGTGACAAGGGAAATCGCGAAGAGGTCGTACGCGTCTGTGAAAAAGCCCATTCCTGCTATGATGATTGCAGTGAAATGGTACCATTGTGTTTGTGCCACGTCTAACGCATTCAACACTTGAATTTGTTGCTTCCCCATGATGAAACGTGTGCACTCGCCCCAGATATCCTTCTCCTTTCTCTCTTTTTGAAAGGCTTGCCTTCATTGCACAAGTTGAACAACAGTATATTCAGTGAAAATGCGGTTTTATGGTACTAGCTACAATTATTCAGAACTAAAGCATGCTAGTTTATTCAGTTATAACAGGTGTCCACTGAATATATAACAAGAGGCATTCCTGTATAGTGTATCATGTTAACAATGTTTTGTAATTTACTGATCTATGACCACAGAATATCGGAGACGGCATCAGTCCGTACAATAGGCCAATCTCCTACCTACCCCTTGTCATTCAATATTAACGAGTATTGGAAGGGTCTCAGGTAAGAAATTCAATTGATTGAACCAATGGTAGAAGCGCCCCCGGAAACAAGTTTACGTGTAGCTGGATTATTCAGCTTTATCTCAAAATTGTCAAAAACATAATCTATGTAAGAGATTAACTTTATTTTCGATTCCACATCTATTAAAATAACTTTGGACTATTCAAATTAGTGTCGAAGACAAAGCCATGTAGCTATATATATATATATATATATCATTGTCAATAAAACATAGATTTTTTTTTTGAAAATCTTAATCTCTGTGCAGAACATGGACTTATATTCTAATTTTTATGAAATTTTTGTCGTGCAATGTTTCAGAATATTGTTTTTTTTAAATTATAACTTAAAAAGTATGCAATATTTATGTATTTTAAAATATAATTTTAATAAATAGTGAATAAATAAGTATTGATAAATTAATTTAATTTAATTTTACGGTACTATTATTTTAAAAAAGGAGCTTATGCATGCTTATGATAATGATATATAATGAATACCGCATATGAATCGTTCATGTGTGCATATTTATTTATTTATTTTACTTTGGATGCTAAGATATATAGTTATATACTACTCCTCACTAATAGCACTATAGTAGAAAGTAATTTATTTCAAAATGGAAAACAAAAGATGGATATTTCCAAATCCTTCGTATTACCCTTATTTAAAATACCAATGCTAATAAAGTAATAACCCATGCAAGCAAAACGGATCTTCACTCTCAGGGGAAAAAAACAAGGGCACTCCTTGGGAACATTCCATTCAAAATTCATCGGAAAACAATATTCTAGGAGCGAACTTAAAAATTTTCACCCAGTGAATGTAAGAAGACATAAAGACTTGAAAATTGACTCAAGGAAAGAAAAAATTCGAAAAAGATAATGATTACTAGAAAAAGCACAAATATAATGGGACAGGACCGACACAAACCATGGACAAGAACATGTAGAGGCACAGTTGCTTTTATGAATAAACAAGAAAGAACATTTTGATTACAGGCACGTACGTACAATAACCAAATATGAACGAAGGGAATGGAGAAAAAGCACAAGAAGGAATGTAAACATGTAGAAAGAGGGAAAGAGAGAAAGGTGATACAGACCTGTAATGGACAGGCAAGCTCTGGAGTGAGAGAGAAGAGAGAAGAAAGGCAAGTTGAAGTTGGGTCTGGATGAAGATCGAGAACAAGTGGGGGAGCATTTATAGGCAACAATGGCACTATCTATCTCCCAAATATTCCAATGGCATATACCTTAGCTTCCTTCACTTTATTTGTCAACCTCGTCCCTAGCTTCTCTCTCTCTCAACCTCCCTCGTCTCTTACTTTCTATTTTTGCTTTGGTGCTTCCCTTATTCAACTACATGTTAATTCTTCACTAAAGCCACTTTATTATTTTAACCCCCTCATTATAAGTCGGTTAGTTTGAATCAAGTATTTTATTTTATACAGGTATCCTTCAATTAAAAACAATCATATTTAAGACATGTTCAAATATTATCAAATAGGCGATTAGGTATCTGCAGTTTAAACTTGGATTAAGTGTGATCTTTAGTAAATTAAAAAATTAATGGAGAATTAGAAACCTGTATGACTGAATAAATTTTATGATGGAGGTGGCCTAGAAGATTCGTGTAATTAATGGAGACGGGTCTGATACTTTATAATTCGTGAGTAGCTAGTAAGCCACCACCAGAAGTATCTACACTTGCCCGGGGCAATTCCGGCAGATAATTTTTGAACCAAGTATAATAATTGTGCAAGATTTAATGCGAACTTCGCTGACTTGGGCAACCTGCTTTGCTAATTGCCGTCCTTGAATAATTCACCTCCTAATCATCAATTAGGTGATAATAGAAACTATAAATCGGTAATATTATCAATAGTAAAATCAACGGTGCAAACAAGTTGTCGTGAATTTCAAGCAAATAAATAAATAACGAGATTAAGTCTGTTTTTATTTACAATATAAAAGTTTATTAATTTTTTATTACATATTTTACATTATTATTTAATAATCACACTTAATTAATTCTAAATGCAAACTTCCACGAATTCTGGAATCACATACTTATATTCCTTTGATAAATAAAAGAAAATATTTTTTGCATTATATCTTGCTGAATTTTTATTTCATCGTTCTCTTACTTTTTCATCCTTGCCACTTATTTTTTATAAGAATATGTAAAAGCCTAAAACAGTATTTACAATTATGATATGTTAGAGTAAAGTAATAAACTTGCATAAAAAAAAATAAAGTAATAAAAAACTAATGGAATTGGGTTTAACAAAAGAAATTAATCTCTTATAATGTAATAAATTAAAATTTAAATTTTTATTAAAAAAAATTTATATTTATAGTATTGACAGTGACTTGAACATAATTGCATGTAATAATAGAAAACCTATAAATAATCTAACAAAGAATGGAGTGATAAACAAGCGACACGTATGAAGTGGAAAGAAAATGTGTAAAGAAAAGGCACTTATTATGTGTAAAGAAAAATGTCAAAAGAGGGAGTCCGAAACCGAATGATTAACGGCAATACCGCTCATTAATGATGAATGTTATTCCTCGGCCACAGCCTACAGGGGCTATTTTCGCCGCTTCCCATCTAGATGGGTCCTTCTCGGCCTATATGGCTGACCATACTTTTCTTATTAAAAAAATATAAAATATTTTTTAAAAAATTAAATATAAGATATTTTTAACCTTTTAAAGTGTAATCATTATTTTTTTACAAGTGTCTCTATTAATGAATAATTTTATATTTATTATAAAGTGTTCAATATGAATAAATATGAAAAGATAGAATTAGTTTTAAAATAAATAATTACTTTATTGAAGGGTAAAATTTAGTTAAAAATGTCATGTATTTTTGAACGGAAAAAGTATTATAATATTAATTAATTATATAAATATCCTATATGCGTGCATGCTATTGAAAGTGATTTATTTAAATAAATATTTTATGTATTAATTGGAAAATGACTACACAACCATTATGATTTATATGAGTATATATACCTCTAGTCTCAAGCCTTACACCTATCGCGCTTTACCCTTTACTAGTAAAAATTGACCTTAATTATTTAAAGGACATTTTTTTAAATAGAACGCCTCGAAAAAATATGTGCGAGAGAGTAAAAGACTAGATCATGTCAATTGTCAAAGCAGAAAAGAGTTTCACATGCAAAGGGACGCTGGCGGTACAAAAATCGTAGCATCTAAACTGACGTTGGATGGTGCGCTAGCAATGTAATTATTGATTTCTCTAAACACATGATTTAAAATAAATTTTATGTAGAGTTAATAATATGAGTTAGGCTTCTAATCCATGCCCATCCCCCAAATTTGGTTGTCATCCCTTGGTTTTTAGTGCATCTTATGAATTATAATGTGTTTACGCAATACAACATGTCATGTATACTACGATTTTAATGATATCTTCTGGCCAAAACACACGCACGCAGATGGTCAGAGACCTTTTGTGGATTTTATTTTCAATAATTGAAGGAATTTATGTTTGTGTTCAGAATTCAGATACAATTTATAATTACCCAATGAAGGTCTCCTTAATTGTTGGAATACCTAAACTCTCTTGAAGATAAGGGAGTTGAGGGCACTAAATCAATACATGTTTGTGGGTGCGCGCGTGATTATCATGACTACCCAGTCAGCTAGCCTGTGTTTGAAGTGTGTCTATAACTGAGCAACATTGCTGGCTGGTGTTTTTCTCATCATTAATTATTACCTTTTACACCAAAGGAAGCAACCATTAAATTAATAACGACTCATTATTTAGCCTCTTATATAATTAGTTTCATATAATAAAGTATTTCTTAAAATCACCCATTAGCCTTGAGAATAGTAGCATTATCTTCTATTAGTTAAATATTTAGCGTGTATTTTGTTTTACATTGAAAATTATTAAAACTATGTAACTTCGGCTTGCTTACGCAAATAAGGTAAATCCAAACATACATTTGATTAAAGATATTAAACAAATTATGGTAGCATTAGCCATATTTACGTGTTAATTAGGAGGTCGCTTGCTCTTCTTGTGGGTGCTCTTTGCACTGCAGTGGCTCTTGCTTCGTTGTTTTCTAGAGTTTGAACTAGACACTTGCATGTTTCTTAAAGTCTCGTGGCTCTTACTAGTATTTTTAATCTACTTATAATTGAATGAGAAAATTAAAGCAACCATTAAAAAAATACTCGCAATTTATAATAGCTGCATTCATTCGAAGCTTGATGAGAAGAAAAGAGACACCCATTTGAATTTGCTTTTGGATAGTATACAATTGATTGGCCAGCATGAATTAAAATCCAAAGTGCAAATGGAACGAACTACATAATGAAGTATATGGTGGAGACTCGGCGTTTCGTTATCGTCACATGCATAGATGGATTTATTCCTTGTGGAATCTTGTAAATTAATTAATATAACAAACAATTCGGACCCCCACTCAGTTTGTTCTTAGTACTATTAATTTAACTGCAACATAGACATGGAACCTCAAATGTACTTTCAAAATGTATAGTGTCTGGAATGTTGATTTAAAACGATGTGAAGCCCGCCAGGAAAAGTTTGTGTGTGTGTGTGTGTGTGTGTGTGGTACAGAGACATTTCAGTACATTCTATATTCTCATGTTCCTGAACAAATTAAACTTGTATATTCATGATCTTCTCTGAATATCGATTACTTTTATTCCATCATCAATCCTCCAAATTCATAACCAATATACTATCAATATAAATAATCAAATCTCAGAAAGTTAATATTAAAAAAATAACGAAATGAGATCACACAAGGTGATTGTTTATAATATGGTATGAGCTGATAGTAATAGTACTGTGCCGGGATAGCTTCTTGCACAATTGATTCCAACCATATTTAGAATTGTTGTATTAGAAATGTTTATTAGCTTTGAAGGAGAAAATGTGGGGTGGTTAGAAGTGCCTTGGAAAGTGGAGGTAATTCTGAAGGCACATATATTTCATAAGAAAGCTGGTCCACCAGATACCACAGTATTGGATGAGCATTACATTCATTGGTGATTACACATCCACGTGCTTTTACTTTATTTCCCGGAACTAAAATCGGCGTTCAACCATGTCCATTTTTGAGGGCCTTAGTTTAAAGAAGATCTTTTCCAGATCTTTCAAATCAAACAATCAGGCGAAAAGCTTGCCTACTCTTTCACCATAATAAAATTAAATATCCCATCCAGCTCCCTGAACGAGTGAGCAGCATCATCAGGTTGGTGGGTTTGTGCTTCTTTGAAAATCTCCAATACCGGGTCACGTCCGTCCAAGGCCACTCACCACCATGGCCTAGTGGAAAGCACAATGAGTGAACAACACAACAATTAAAAAACAAAAGGCAACCCATTTTGACAATTCTACTCCCCAGTTTTTCTCTCTCAATGTTCAACTGATCAGGTTCCTGGAAAGTTCCGAGATACTGAAATTAATTGTACTTGAGCGTCAACTGTCAAAGTGAATTTGGACGTTATTTCTCTCCGATCTGCTCATTTAATTTCGAGTCACAATGCGCATCTATAGTCCGAGTGGGGGGGCTAATGATGCTGTGGTTTTTAATCTCACGCAGGAAATGTTGTTCTTGTCGCCGTCTAGGTTAACGATAGGTGTCAAGTCAACCTTCACGTGATGCTCAGGTGGGTGTGAGGGTGGGGACGGCACTAAGTCTAAGACATCTCATCACCGTCAGTAGGTCTGAAACAGAAATGGATGAACGTGCTCATCGTGAAACTGATATATTTTTGTTTGCAGAAATTCAACAGACCTCGGATGGTTAAACAGGGCATGCATGTATAGGAAGTGCACTAATTATATGGACATAGGTGTCTCTCTCTCACCCTGTATTGTCTCTGTGATCACTCACAAGCTCTAACCTTTCGGACTGCCCCAACCAAAAACTCGGACGTTACTGTCAAATGAAATTTGTTTCCGCACAAGGATTTGTTGATACATCATTCTACCAGACGTTACATGTGGCTCTGTTTTAGATACTGTGATACAAGGTGCATGATTATATTGTTTGGGCATAAAACGAAGGAGGATAGGACCAATCAAGATGTTACTGTTAGCGTTGACAACAGGCTGTGCAGCAGATTAATGGGAGAATGGTGGTGGCATGTAGATGTAGTTTCCAGCATACACACACGGCCTGAGGGAGGGAATTCAAAGAACAGTGACACAGGCCTGACCCGAACACATTCTGCGGTGTGCTCAGTTGATTATATTTGACCCTCAGACTCAACCCATCACCCACTAACACTTCACCTTCTTCAACAATTCTAGGCTGCATGACTATTGTGACTGAATAGGATCGACGTGACGTGACCCATTCACTGTCGGCAGACATTTTCAACTTCCCCCACTAAACGTGTCTTTCCAATTCCATTCAAATTGTCTTTCAAATCCACGTTCTTCAAACATCGAATTCTTTGGCCCAGGAAAAAAAAAAAAAAAACTACTGCGAATTCATCTCTGCTTACACAACACATCAACTCACTCTACAAGGCATGAGGGTTTGGGAATGGAAAAGGAGCTCTCATAATTTTGGGCCCAACCCAACAAGGCCTTCTGGGGATGGATAAAGGCCCGTAACATCATGGGCTTAACCATGCAGGCCCATTCTATCATGCACGAAGTGTCAAGAATAAAGTTTACTATTCAAGCCTTAATAGCCAATGTATTTATAAATAGAAATCATTATATTCAACCTCAACCTTAATAAAAATATTATACTTTATAATAAATATTAATTTCATTGATTGATTATGTACGTGAATAATTATCATATAAAAAACTTGGCCTAACGGCTAACTCTTACCTAAAATAGTAATTTTTTTTTTGCAAACAAGCAAAAAAAAAAAAAACTATACAGCTAAAATTGACTGCAAGCGCATTAAATAATTTATGAAAGAGTTTGATGAAAAATATATAAAAAAACTTATATACTTAGTCTTATATATTTAATGTATATATTTTTAATTGAATCAAGATATGTGATATTTTATAAATTATTTATTCTATAATAAATTATTATTATTAATTTTATCAATACATTAAGATTCATTTATCAGATTCATTTATCAGGATTTAATTGGATATGAGTATAGTCTCTCTAGATCATAATATAAGTCATGTTTAATTAATTTATGATTTATAAATAATGTTAGTTGAAATTTTAAATTATTAAAAATATCCATATTTTTTTATTTACATCTTCATTAAATACTTTATATAAGATCCTTGATGATAATAATTAAAATTTTAACATATAATTTTTTAAAAGAAATAATAAACACAGTAAAGATATAGTTAGAAAAATAAATATGATCGTTATTATGCTCTATATTTTAAATTTTTAAAACATACCTTATATTATAAAATATGAGTTAAAGTTATCGTTGACTTTCTTTTTGACGTCGCATGCATTTGTCCAGCCGCCTAATCCCAAAAGAGGCCTTCCGTATGCAGACGGCCGACGTATCCGGGGCGTGGTTATCTTTTCATCTTTGCCACGTTGACAACACCCAAAGGCGGTCGAATTAAGCAAAATCTTTTTTTTTTTTGCCATATTTAATTAAAGTAGGATGTAATATAGTACATTAATACCTATAATGAATCAATGTGTTCATATTTCAACCTAAGCATCGAGATCAGACCTTGGAATGGATTCGCTTTACAAACTTTGACGGAGCTAAGCTGATGTGGAAAATAAATTATGCGGCTTGTTTCGGACCATGGGGTTTCTAGCGCTCTTTCCTTCTAATAATTCTTATAATGCCTCAACTCTTAAATTATTCTTTATCATTTAATTATTTACTTATATTTAAAATGAAAGATTAATATCTTAAGACCTTGAAACATTACAATTTTACATATTTACGATTTTTTAAGTAAAGTAAATTAAAATTGCACAATTTTTGGGTATCATTTTAAAACAAATAGTAAGAAATAAGAAATCACTATTTTATTATTATAAGACATTAAATTGTAGCCAAATGGTGAAAATTGTAGTTTTTACTCTGTTTTTTTTTTTTTTAGCCCACGATTATTAGTAGCGATTAGAAGACTGCTGAAGGAGGTTGTGGGGAACAGAGGGGATTCAAGCAGGGGCACATGTTCATGCGAGCGACTAGTTTCAAGAAGCCACGCGATTAAACAAGAAAGCCCCAACCCATGGAACATGTAATGCGGAGGTCAAAACAGAACTCAAAACGAAGGCACATTTACAATGAAGAAAGAAAGCCACAAAATTAAGAGCCAAGTTCCAAAGGAATGAACAAATAAAGAGAGAGAAAGAAGGGAAAGTGATCAAAGAGAAGTGAAGGTCAAGAGCTGGTCCAGATAGTCGGCTCCCAAATCCTCCAGCACCAACACGCCGTCGTCATCACCGGATTGGATTCGGGTTTTGGCAGCAGCAGGAGTCCTGGGATTGGACCTTCGTCTCATGGTGTGCTTTTTCTTGAGGGCCAGCACCGGAGAGCAACCGTCTTCCCACGTCTTGTACGGCATCTTCCTCAGCGATTCCCTCACCACTTCCTCCGGGAAATTCAGCACTGCCTGTGACCCCCGCGTCGATAATGCTGCCTGATCGTACGCCAGAGCCGCGGCCTCCGCCGTCTCAAACGTGCCGATCCACACCCTCACCCCTTTCCTCGTGGAGTCCCTTATCTCCGCCGCGAATTTCCCCCACGGCCGCCTCCTCACTCCTCGGTACACCCTCTTCGGATCAGCTGGCGGCGCAGGCGATGCGCCTTCAGTTTTTTCTTCTTTGACTTGAACAGTGGAGGAGACTTCGTGCACTGATTCCAAGAGTGCTCCGGGAGAGGAGGAGGGGTTGGAGTCGGAGGAGGAGGAGGAGTCCTTGGCTACAGCATCGGAAGACAGGAAATAATCGGGTGAGTGGTGGTGGAAGGGGAGGGAGTAATCGTTGAAGAGCAACAAGTCATCCCAGCAGGAGAATTGTACTCCGGAAACGCAGGAATTTACGGTGGAGAACTCATCAGGTTGTGGGTAATGGTAATCGAAGAAGCAGGAATCTGAATCCATGTGGACTTCAGTGTGCTGAGCTACACCTGGCTAGTACTTTTCTTTCTTGTCTCTGCTTTTCTATGGACTGATTAACTAATTCTGGTGGGTTGTCAAACAGGTTTCGGGTTGTGTGTATATATACCCAGTGAAAGAAGGGAAGAAACGAGCAGAGAAGTGGCATATTGGAAGTTGTAATTTTACACGAAAAAGAAGTGAGGTGGGGCACGGCGAGAGTCTGGGATTATTGGTGAGGGAGGATGTCTGGCGGGGGGATTAGGATTAGACAGTGTTGGGAAAAGGAAGGGCCTCAGTGAAGGTTCTGGATACAGGGCATTAAACAAACGAGGACAGGGGTTGCTAATTACTTGTAATAGTTTTTTTAAGTATTTTTTGACACGTGACACAAAACATGGGCAGTAATATTCGACCAACAAAGCCCCTCTTCCATGCCACTGATACCAGACCAGATTCAGCCTTCAACCTAGGATCGATGACTAGGCTTGCCCCTAAACACTTTCATTTACTTATACACGCTTGATACAAGTACGGTCGTGCTTATATTGCGGTGTGAATGGTAAATGTATTCACAAAACGGAATCGGGATAATCCTGTATTTAACACGCGCGCGTTGTGGTTGTGGTAGAACCACATATAGTGAAGTGTGATACATTCCTTACGTTGACAAAAATTACAAGCATTGTACATGTAAATTTTGTAACTTTCTGTACTCTACTATTAATATTTTGCATCCCTTGATTAAATAAAAAATATCAAGACATAAAAACTTAGAGATATAATGTTTTAATGATTAGAATAAGATATGAAGAGTGTGTTTATATGAAAGAGCATATTAACTTATTTAATACTCCATTTGTTAAAAAATATAATACATTTTTTAAGAAGTTTGATATTAAAAAATTTAAAATATTTTAAATGTTTTAAATGTAATCATTTCTTTTTTTTTTTGAAGTTTCGTTAACAAATAAATTACTTTATATTTATTTTAGAATGAAATAATCTATTAAATATGAGTACATAAAAAAATGATGTCAATTTAAAAACAAGTAATTTATTTTATTATGATGTGAAATTCAGTTAAAGATATCTTATATTTTTTAAAGGAAGGAATATAATTTTTCAAAACATGATCAAACTGCTTATGTTGTTAAAATTTTAGTCCTATTATAGTTATATTATTTTTAAATTAAATTAGCTTTACATTTTTTACTTGTGGTCCTAACTCTATCATATTGATATACTCTTTCTGTCTCTATATATAAAGTATTTTATATAAGTTTATTTTACCCCTAAATATGAAAGGTGTCAATGATATTTTTAAATAATTAGATAATTTTACTTTTATTTTAAAAAATAAAATAAATTATTAATTATATATTTTTTATAGGGGTCAAATTAAAAAATGATTGTATTTTTATGTGAGTTTAATTAAATAATAAATTTTATTAATTTATAAAATTTAATTAAAAATATTTTATATATAAAAGTGAAGGGAGTATTTTTCAGTAGTTATATGGATGTACTCCGAATTAATTTTTCTGGCAAAAAAAAGCCGAATTAATTTGATCCACTTCAAGGAAGATAGATAATTGAGACTGAGGAAGGCAGGTTTGAAAGGAAGCGCGAGACACGGGGCTCCACCACAACGGGCGTGCTCCGTCCTCTGTGTTACTGTGTATGGGGCATCCTATTTTGATCCGAAACACAAAAGGAGCGGCATCTTGAGGTCCCCCGGTCACATCCACGCTCACATCATGTTTCCATCATCCTCCGCCGCCGCCATCACCGTAAAAAAAAGAGAGAATGAAAGTTAGACCACAAAAGTCTAAATTAATGAGAGTTCAATCTTTAATAAGTTTTTTAGAAAAATTAGTTAAAAATATTAATACAGATAATTATAAATTTAAAATTTTTAATTATAAAAAATTATTGAAGTATCAAATACAAATTTTAAATTATAATAAAATTATTATTTATAATTATTTAAATTAATATTTGTAATTTATTTTAAAAAAAATTTTGTAAAATACTTAACTATTATTATTTTAATATTTCGGGGCTCGAGTATTATTCTAACTAAAAAAATTGCTTATAGTTATTGTATTTTTATTATATGCCACTTTCTAATAAAAATTGCTGGTAGCTAATATAAGACACTTAATTTAATGTTAATTATGTTTTTTAATATTATTTTTATTTAAACTCAATGTTGTATGAATTAAAAAATTTATTTAAATATAAATAAAAGTAAAATTTTATTTTTTTAAGTAAAGTTAATGACCCAATCACCTCTTATTAGGTGTGTAGTTTGCTATCATTCTTATAATTCTGTAATAAATCTTATTATAAGAGGTGGGCTCAATCATATAATCTAAATATGGAAAAAGATTACATACTTAGTTTTATATATTTAGTGTGTTGTGCTTATCTTCAATTAAATCAAGACATTTGCATATTTTATGGAATATTTATTTTATAACAAACTCTTGTTATTAATTTTATTATCACATTAAAATTTATTTGTTTTAATTTAATTAACAATAAGTATATTTATGCAATGCTAAGTACCTAAATCTTGCCCATCTAATATTGTATTTTATCAACAATTTAATCTTTAGATATATATTTTTTAAATTGGCCTTGTTTGTTAAATTTTATATCAAGTATATTTGATGATAGTATATCTCATCAAAATAGTTTAAGTTATTTGACTAGACATATTCTAAATTTTATATATTTTTAATATATTTTTTAGTTTTTAGATTTGAAATTTCTTTATCTCTAAAAAAAGGTAATTTTATTAAAGGTTGTTGTCTTATTTTCATTATTGTTCGAATACAATATATTACCCCCCTCAAAAAAAAAAAAAAAAGACGAAGAAGAATCTATTGGGATACTTGATGCATGCTCTCAGTGGACTATAATGGGGTTAAAAAGAGAGGAAGATGACAACGTCACCAATCCAAGTTGAACGGCTATAATAAAAAGAAAGAATCATTGTCATCAAGTTGCGATTTAATATGGTCTACTTGGTGACCGGGAATAAAAAACTCTTAACGTGAATTTTTTATGAGGGTTAAGGTCCGGACGCCTCGTGCGTAATTTCAGAACATAGGAAGATACATTGTACTATTTTATATTATACCCTGTTTTTGGTCTTTTCCTTTCCGGTCAAATTATTTCCTTTTCCCAAGTTTAAAAAATTTAGTTATTTTTTACTCAATTGTTTGTCATTGATTTTTTTTAAAATATCCTTGTTATTAATGTTTAAATTTCTTAAATATATACTCCCTCCATTAAAAAATATAAGGTATTTTTAAGTAAATTTCATTCCCTTAATAAAATAATTATTTATTTTTAACTAATTCTATATTTTTATATTCATTCTTATTAAATACTCCATAATAAATATAAAATTATTATTAATAAAAATATTTTTTAAAAAATAATGATTATATTTTAAAAAATTAAAAATATTTTATATTTTTAAAAAGAGAGAGTATACAAAAAAATTGAAAGTTTTGGTTACATTTAAAACCCAAAGGAGTAGGTCCCTTTGATTTATGAAAAATCGGTTGTTTCATTTTCATGGTACACGTTAATTAGCGACGAAAGAATTAGTTGGCCGCCATACCATCAAAGGTCATATGGATTCCAAGTTCAGAATTCAAGGTCAAGATTGCCGTTTTGGTCAGATTTTCTCCTTTTCCTTGGGTTTAGATTGTGTCAACTAGGATGGAGGGCCTAACATGCCCTCAGCTTTTTATTTATCTTTTAAAACATATGTAGTTGGTGCATTGGTGGCTCGGTGCTATTCATTTATAAAAAATGGAGTACAGTATTGGGTACCGGATTCATGCTCGTGAGTTGCGGGTCAAACAATTTCGATTGGCCAGTAGGATGGGACAAGAGAGCTGATCTCACGCAACGCTGATTTTCTAATTCAAGTCTAGCAAATGCAGACCAGGAAAAGCAAACAGTAAAAGGAAGAGACGATAAAGCTTATCGTCCTTTTTGGGATGTGATGTTGCAATGAGTTTTCGATTTGACTTTGAATTTAGGAAAATTTATTATTTTTGATTCATAAAATTTATAAATTTAAATTTATTTGTGTAGATTAAATTTAAATACTTCCTCTATTTAAAAATATAAAATATTTTTTAAAAAATTAGATATTAAAAAATATAAGATATTTTTAATTTTTTGAAATATAATTATTACCTTTTTTTTAAAAGTATACCTATTGATTATAACTTTATATTTATTATTGGGTATTTAATGGGGGTAGATATGAAAAGATAAAGTTAGTTTAAAAATAAGTAACCACTTTATTATGGAGTGAGATTTAGTTAAAAATATCTTCTATTTTTAAATGAAGGGAGTACATATTTTATCAAGAAAGAATGATAGATAAATCTTTCTTAAATAAAAAATAACAATTTAATTCTGCAAAAAGTAATAATAATAGGGAGGTTTAAGAGACTCCTTTAATATTAAATTTATTTATAAAATTACTTTAATACCTTTAAATTTGGTTTTATCAATGACCAAAATAATTTAAAAAGTTATAATTTTTTATTAACAAAATCTATCTAATTTTATATTTTTTACAAGTTTGATAAAGTATTCACATGTTTAGTTACACCAATAATTAATACGATTTAAAAAATCATAACTTTTTAAATTACAAAAAAGTAATAAAAAAATTTACGTAAAAATTTAATTTGAAAGAAGCCTCTTGTGATCTCATTGTTATTATCATATTTTGAGAGATCAAATTGTTATTTTCTTATTTCAAAAGGATTAATTTGCCATTCTCCCTTTCATTAATATATTTTTTATCATTTCACATCCCTTCTATATCCTAGTTTTTGGAAATATTAATCACTTTAACACTCTCCTTATCTTCTAATTTTCATTTTTCATCTCCCTTTGTCACTCCCTGAGATTTCAATTTCTTTTAATACCACAGAAACAAAAATGTTTAAATATGGGACCTTAAATATAAATTTAAATTTAAATCCAATAATCCAAACGTGACCTTAATTTTTTTCTTAATTTAATAAATTTTATTTCAATTTATCACTCTCTCAGTTGGGGAAAACTATTCTTGTAATTGTTAATAAAAAAAATTACCCCTTATATATATGGTTTTCATTCTTTAGCAGATAAAATTATCAGACCTTCGACTTCAAAAAACATAAAAGCATGTAATATACTTGATGAATAAGCTAAGCGTTTCAAATTGTGTGATGTAACATCTTCAATTTTAAACCCAGATTAATTAAACTAAAAAAGGTTAGTAAAGTGAATTTTTAAGGTGTGTGACTAGAGAGATCTAACGAGCATGTTTGATCTTGATTTTAATACCAAACTTAAGGATAGAAGAGGAAGAATTTCTGAAGGGAG